ACAGACAATGGACAAAGTAAAATTGTATTGTACAAATTAATATTTCTTATTCCAAATACTTAAATTTACAATACTGATAGTAAACAAAATTCAAATTTTATTTATTATAATTTTACATGTTAATTTCGTTAAAATATTTATTGCGTAAATAATTGTCACCAATTGCATTTGCACTTATGAAATAAAATAAAATGTCAAAATAATAAATGCTATTAGTTTTGATGCAATATAAGTTACTATCATTTTTAATCGAAGTATCAAATTGTTTAAATGAATAATTAATGAGCATATGTAGTTTATCAATATCAATAAGTAGAACACTTATCCCCTCAGTGCAATGCTATTGTGATTTTATTCCAATCTATTTATTGTACAGATTTTCCATTCTTTCTACATTGAACAGTGGCTAAAAACAAAAATGGACCTATGTAAAAAGATAATTTGTTACGATACTTCTCAACCATTTAAAAATATAAACTGGACAATTTTTATATGATAAAACATTCTAGGACTCCACTGACTCAAAAAAACACATTACAAATAACATTAGATATATAAGAGATATAAAAAATTGATGATAATTTTTAATAAGTATATTCTTGTATTTTAATTTTTTATAAAAAATGTACAAGTAGTTTTCTTTAAACAAACGTCGATAATTTGGAAAAATATTTTAAACAGTAAAATCTGTTTTAAGGGTATATCAATTATTTTCTACTTTTCGATATCAAAAGTAAATAAATATACATATATAACAAATATTTCATACTATTTCAGCGCTGAATACCAAAACAACTTGTTGAATACACTCCTGCAAGTTACGAACGTTTAATGGTAAAAACACTACTCATTAATTAAACAAGCCTCTCTTCTCTCACAAAGTTCATTAAAGTAACCAAAATATAAAAGCAAAAGCATAAAAATATTTCGGCATAAGGAAAACCTAACATAATATACTCCAGTATTCAGAGTGTTCCTTTGACTACGCCTTAAGAAAATACAGAATAATTTGTTTATTTAATCCAATCAATTATTTACAAAATATAAATATTTTTGATTTTTTTTTAGTCATTTATTTTTTTATTTATAAATTATTTAAGGCCACCCTCAAAAAAAATTAAACCACCTAATTATTCAAAATATAAAAATGATATTGATAATTTTGTATTGGTTTTTTACAACTTATCAATCATGTAGTATTTTTAATGTTCATCTCTTATTTTTTAAAAGAGTGTTAAACTATTTTTCCAACCGTTAATATACATATTAACTAGCCTATTTAACAGTTATCGATGTAATTAAGAAAATGACTTGTCGACAACAACATTATTACCCGACGCAACTGGCCGTATTCCTCCACCCTTATATGAAACATATGATTTTAATGTAGTCTAAAAACATATAAATTATTTAAAAAAGAATCACAACGAAATTTTAATTTCGTTTACTAAAAAAAAACTATAGAAGTTATCAGTTAGATCTGGATTACTGCGTAATATAAAAATTAATTTTTGTTTGAATAATGCTTTGCTAATTTAAACTACAGTGTGATTATTAAATTGTTCATATTTACTAATGAATATAAAGAGAATCAAGAATCCTTAATTTGTGAAATTTATTAAATGTATTAAGTTATATGAAATACAATTAAGGTGAGGAGTGGTCCTCACCTTTTCTAAATCTTCAAATTGTAATGTTTTGAAAAGTTTAATACAAAACAAGTTATCGATAGGTCAAAATTGTATTTAGACTTTAAACCAATCAATAGTAAATAAATAATAATATGCTTCCATTTAACTTTTGAAAGTTCTCCCTAAAAATTATTCAACAATCACAATTCAATGGCACACAATCAAAATTTTTCGATTAACAAGAAAAAAAGAAATCAAATTTATATATTTTATTTACAGAATAGTTTAGACCCTAAAATGTAATTCATTTACTTAATACATATTAAAAATTTTGCATAATTAAGGAAGTATTTCTATAAAATAATTTTTTAAATATTAGTTAAATACTCCTTAGTTTTAGTTGGACTTGAAGACATTTTATGTACGTTATTTTAAACTTTTTTACAAAATTAGTTTACTCAAAGCTCACGATATAAATAAATACTTTTAAAGTGTCACTAGTAGAGTTTATCACTGTTAGTTGATAATCCATTAAACATGTCGGAAACTTTCGATAAAATGTTGCAGTAACTAGATGAAGTGCAAGATCAACAAACCTATAATAGTCAAACCGTATGACTTATTTTCGAACGTGAAAAATATAAAATAAAAACTTTTACCTTGTAGAGAATTCAATTTTTTTTTTGTATGTATTCTGCTCTCATACCAAGTAAACTAAAATCGATTACTCAGTGATCGTATTATTTTTATTTTTGTTTATGACGTTTAACCATTCAATAAAGAATAAATTAAAACCTTTGTAATACTAATTTAATAATTAAATAAGCCTGAGAGCCAAAAAACTATTATTGTATGCCGCATTGTTTTGTTATTCTTGATACTAAACAAGCTTGATACCATATGATACACAATACAATTATTTTTAAAGTAATATAGGACTATTGCCAAACATTTTATAATGTTAATACGTTCCTAATAACATTGTTATTAATAGATTTATTATTTCTATAAAATAAAGTGTAAAATTGTATAGCAAAAGTACAATATATGAACCCATGATTATCATTTGTAATTTTATTTTCTTTCATATCATCAAATAGAATATAGAGGTTACCATTAGGACGATTCTTTAAAATAAAATGTTTAAATTCATTCAATATACTCCCTAAAATTTGGTAAAAAATAATTTGTACAAAATTTGGTAGTAAATTCAACTCTAAGGAAGGTTTTTCGATTTTCGTCATTTATATTACAAATTATGATATTTATACAAAAAATTATAGAACTAAATGATTGTCGCAAAAAAATTTTATAAGCAAAGTAGTCTTAACAATATAAATCGATTTTATTCGATTATTTAAATATTGTAAACGAACTATCGGCATTTAATGCGACACTTCCTACTTATTTAAAAATATTGATTCGGCAATTTTTATAAGACGGGTAATTCTAGATTCCATGATTTTGTCTTTATAAAAATTAAAATATTTTAATAGTTTATAAATATATTTTATTATTAATATATGTACATAAAAAACTAAATTTATACTTGACGGCCTAATTAAGTCAAATTTACTTACTGTAATTGCATAGACAATTTTTTTGATTGGAAAGTTTTCCATTTAATCTTTACTATAATATTTTAAGGGGAAGATTATTTTTAGTTTTTGATTAACAAATAAAACATTGAAAAGTCATAAAAATACAAAAACATTAAGAAACGTAAAAATATTAAGAAACTTACAATAATTTTTTTACTTGTATGGTTTTTAGAAAATTTTGATTATTTTTGTTATTATGTGACTATCAACCAAAGAAAAGATGATTATTTTTCCATCGTAAATTTTCAATAAATATTCATTATTTCAAATAATTTTGAATATCACATAAGTATTTTTAAAGAAATTATTAGTTCTATTAGTTTTCAAAGAATATATTATCCTTAATAATCTACAATAGAATTTTCTCAAGAATATTTACACTACCAAAAATATTTTTTCTTTACATCACCATATACACCATACAGGAAGAGATATACTGTATGACTATTGGTAGTAAACAAACTCAATAAAAGTAAACTAGATATAATTGCGTTAACTCATTAACGGGTAGCTAGCTAAGTTATGAAGCCTAAATTTTATAGAAATTAAGTGAGGTTTGATCAGTCAAGAATTCTAGTCGAAGTTCGATCATTAAAATAATTATTTTGAAATTTATATAATTTTACTTCAGCATGATTTTTATTCTAACATAAAAAAAATATAATGATTCGATGTTGAACCACTAAACAAAAATGATTCAGGTTCAAAGAGAAATATGTTTTTTTTTTGTTAGAAATTCTATTATTCCTAATTATGGAGAGGGTAAGAAAACTTGGGGTTATGCACCTAACTTTTACGTTTGGTAACTTTTTTTATTACGTTACATTTTTGTTAATACTTAAAAAATATAAGTTAAACATTTTGTATACTTCAATATAATACATTCCATATGAAATTTTGAAAAATTTCAAAAGAGTTTTCAATGTAAGCTTATTCAAATAGTGTAGAGGAAAATAATTTATAATTTTTATCAACAAAATAATGTCTTTTTGAATAATCGGACTTATAACTGTATGGTTAATTATTTTTTCCATTTTTCCTTTTATTGTCAATTAAAGTGATTTTTTAATGTTGCACCCTTTTATTTTAAGTAATACATTTTTTTTATTGTAGTAATTCTTTTTGTGTTAAAAATATATCTACACCATAGCGAAAAATATTCAAACGACTCTTTATTAAATTGAGATCATTTTTATTTATAAGGTTGGTGATAAAATTCATCTATAGAAAACTAAACAAACAACGTAAAATATATTTTTACACCATTAATTCTTTTAAAAGACTCGTAATCGCCTTGAAGTGAATAGAATCTTTTTGTGAAGACATTCAATAAATCAACACAATATACAATTGACAGTATTCTAAAAATATAAAACTTATGCTCTTTTATCGTCATTAAGGATACACGAGCAGTTTAAATAAAACACTCTACAACAAAAATAATGAACATTTATAATAATTGATAAAAGTTTTTAGACAACTAAAATACGTTTATATTATTTTTTAATGTCTATATGAAAAATTCAACTAATTTATTAAAAATAATTTAAATCATTATGTATTTATATTTTTAGTATCTATAAATGTTTGTTTTTTACAAAAAAATCTTATCAAAGAATAAATTTGCAATTGTACCATGACCCTGTTTTTAAATTTTTGCATAATATTTTTTGTCCTTTCACTTATTTTCATTAACTCAATTTAATTGTCATATTCAAATCTATTAGAATTCTAACTTAATTAAAAATTAATCACCCTATTATTCTTTTTGAAAACTAAAACACATCAAATTAAACAATAGAATAAAACTGAAAGACTATTTCGAAAAAAAATTTTATTGTCAGAATCAATGTATGTGAGCATAGGGCCGTATGTATACATTATTTATGAGAGGATTTGAACTATTTTCACCTTCACATTCTTATTTTTATTATAATTTGATAAGAAAAATTTTTTTTGAAATAGATGGCCTTATTTCCCCAACCCATCTTATTTTTCCTCACTTGCAATTCTGCGTCAGTCTAACTATTAGTAATAAATAAAATCATTGAAACATTAAAAACTGTGCTCAGAAAATCTTAATATTAATGTAAGTTTTTTTAAATAATAAAGTACATCACAGAGAGAATTTTTTATTTAAAATTACTGCACATAATATAGAATAAAAATTATTTTTTTGATTTATTTTAAAATAAATAAATTAAATTAAAAATATTAAACTCAAAAGCCATAAAAATTACTAAAATGTTGCGGATACGTATTTCGGAAACAATGTTACCATTATCAACGCTAAACATATACTCACTATATGAGGTCAGTAGTTTTAATTTCATTAAATTAATTAGCCACAAGTGATCAATTTTTATTATATCTTTTAAAATAATTAACAATAAAAAAATTTTTTGGTATTTTCTAGAATACAAAATAATGGAGGAGTATCACGTTTCCAAAAGAAATGGAAGAACTTAGGAATCCATTGACTATGGGTCGCAAATATTGAAAAATATCTAAGGACACCCAACTTTCCTAGGTAAAAGTTCGACACTGCCTTTACTCATATAATAATTTTGATACCCGTTTATCTTTTACTTTTTTATAAAATGTAAATATGTTCTTATAAACATTTAAAATATTTTTATAGTCTGATAGTTTTTAATGCTTTTTATGTTATTTTGAATGAGAACATTAATTTATACATATTTAAATTGTATTTTATTTAAAGTTAACAAACTAATGCACTTCTTCTGTATGATGAATGCTATATTAAGAATATAATAAATAGAGGCCACACCAATAATGCTAAATTTGTAAAAGACTCCAAAATGAGCCTTTTTTGTAAAAAAATTATCAACCCTTCTCCAAAGAAAATTCCTGACTAAAAAATAATTTTTAAAACACAAAAAAGTAATTAATTTAAATATCATTATTTTTTAAACTTAAAATCCTATTCAACAATAAAGATATTTCATAAGACAATTTTCGACAAGATAATTTGAGAGTAAAATCCAACTTTTTAGTCTTAAAAAATAATTCAGCAAGTGAATAGGGTGAAATAATATTTTCCTTAAGTTGTATAAGTTACTTTATAAATGACAAAACTTATCTAAGAATTTTTAATTAATAAGCTTAGACGTAAGCTTTAAAAACTTTTTTAGGCAAAAAGATAATAATCAACAATTAAAAACTAGTTTAACGAAACTAATTGTTTTCATATAATTGTTCACGTGTCTTTAATGTTACTAATAATTGATAATTTTCTAATCATACAGTTAAAGTTTACTGAAAACTTAGTGTATCATTCGTGAGTGTTCTCACGGGTATGGAGAGATAAGGGGTAAGGGAAATGGAACGCCCCTGAAATGTAAATAAATACAAGGCGAAGATGTATTTTGAATTGGGTAGTAAAAAATGTCTCATAAATAGCTTAATTCCAAAAATAATTTTAAAACTTCTGGCGTCAGCTCTTTAGAAGAAATAATTTGTAAGATTACGTGATTTAACTAATACACACTTCATATTTTAAAATAAATGTTCAATAAAATACTAAGTTAAATGCAGTTACTGGGTGAGGTATTTTTTAACAATGGAAGTGACACAGTATTGATTAAGTTATAATACAATGCAATATCTGTAATTTTTATTAAACTTTATCCATTCGCGGAATTATGGTATATTTATGTCAAAAACGAACACCTAATTATTTAAATAGGTTTTTGGTAGAGTTCTTCATAAAACATAAATAACGTAAATGTAGCATATTTATTTTCCCGTTAAATCTAAATTTTCTGTGTTATAATATTTTGATACAGAACGTTAAAATAATAAAAAAAATATTTACTATATTGCATTATATATTAGTAGAATTTTATTAAGGTAAATGGCAGATCACTAACGAATTAATAAATTATTTTTGAAAACACAATTTGTATATTAAATAAAAATATGAAATAAGAATTTAATACAGAGTGATTAATTTATCCATTACCACTAGAATTTTTTAAAAGTAATAATAATTCAGATAATTTTGTTTGGTTTCTTTAAATAGTATTAATTTCTCGATTTTTGAGTGTTTAATATTTTCTAAGTCTATTCTTTATCACTTATTTGGGTTCCAACTTTATTTTTTAAATGACAACATATATATTTAATTAGTTCACATAATATAAAATGATCCAACTAAGAAAATTACTAGTCGATATCAACTTTTCAATTAGTAGTTCAGTGTTATAAATACTTTTATTCTTGGATGGAAGGCAAAGCACGACAGGTTTAATTATACAGATATAAACTTATTTTTACAACATTAAACATATTGTAACCTTTATAGACCAACAAATTCATTTTAATTAAAATGAATCAAAATCAATTTTACATTAATGGCCTGAAAAATGATTTTCAGACAGATTTATTTTTCCAATTTTAACTTTGAAAAAAAAATGTACTTTAGTTTTGTTATTTACATCATTTAAAATCTTTTAATTTTGGGGATACAATTCTTTATTCAAAACTACAGTTGCAAGTTTAAAAATATTGATGATTACATAGTAGTGTACCAATGGTCTGAAAGGATCAAGCAAATCTATTTTTATAATAACTTTTTGAATGACAGCCGTTTAAAAAAATTAGTCTAATACACCAACTAATCCACCACTGTAATAAAACCTTGCAACATTACTACTTCATCACAACATCATGTCACGCACAGTATCCAAACATAAGTACACCAATCTATATACGTCCATATCGACTACTTCCACACAAACTTAAATCAGCTAAACAAGAATTTCAATGTATGATAAAAAAAGGATATGCCACCTACCCAAAGACCCATAGATAAGTCTATTACATTTAGTGCAAAACTTAATGAAGATTGAAAACTTTGTGGTAATTACTACAGATTGAATGAAATAACTGTACTAAATAGATATTTATTGCCACGCATACATGATATCACTCAATGTCAAAGTGGAAAGCGACTTTTTTCAACAGCTGACCGAAATTACAAAACGTACATATCACCAGCCTTAGCCCTAGTTATTGATGCGTCTCATATTTGTATAGGTTGAATGTTCAACAAAAAACAAATTGTAGTTGGAAATTTCTGGCTTTTTTTAAGATGTTTTAGTAGCAGAAGTTTTATAAGTTTATGCAGCTTCTAGTGTGTATGAAAAGGAATTGTTCGCAATTTATATTACTATCAAACATTTTAATTTATGCAGAAAGCAAAAAAATTGTCTGTGTATAGTAATTGTAACCATTACTATAAAAATTTTTTGAGAAAAAAAAATGTTAAAAAGAAAATAAGGTAACTGGACTACATTAGTCAGTATACAACTGAAATCAAGGATATTAGTGGAAATAATAATGTAGTATTTGATGCACTTTCTAAATTAGATCTTGATGTAATAAACAGAGATACATTCAACAGGACAAGTTTAAATTATCAAGAGTTAACAGAAGTACAAAGATGAAAAAATAAAACAGTTATTTGATTAGTAATAATAATTTTTCACTTAAATTAAATTAAATTTAATACCAGCTAAAGATATTGAAATTTACTATAATATGTCTACATTGAATCTCTTAGTTCATTCTTACTAAACAATTTTTTATTTTATACATAATTTAGCATATTCCAGTATACGTTCCTCAATAAAGTAGGTAAAAAAACTGTTTTTTTGTCACCTACTATGAAAAAGTGTGTTCAAATTGCTTTCATTGTCGTCAACGTGCAAAAATTCACAGACATGTTATCACACCTCATGGAAACTTTTATTTAGTAAGCGAAATATTTTTTTGTATACATATTGATATTCTTGGGTATGAAAATGGTATACATATTGTGTTACCGTAATCAAAACGTTTACAAGATGGTTTGATGAAGTTGTTCCTGCGGCCGATTTCACCGCAGAATCAATAATCACTGTCATATTCACAGGGAAGATTTTACTTTTTGATTACCCCTTTTTATTACCAGTGATTTAGGCACACATTTTACATACCACTTGTATTATGAGGATTAAGATCAGCAATTAAAGAAGACTTATAGTAAAAATCAGCAGAATTACTTTATGGGATAACATCTAAATTACCTGAAGAATATTTTATGTCTTCTGTTCAAGATATTGATCCATTCATAAAACTAGTTCAATTAAGAAAAACCCAGCATAGGGGGGTCACGGCACAGTGGTGACGTGGCATAGTTGGATCAAGTATAATGATATCTGATAGTGATTAAAATCACATTAAAAAAAAAACGCTTCGATTCAAATCTTTTGATAGTGTTTAATTCTAAAAAATTGGTGGAATATTCCAAAAGCTAGATGATCTGCTATTTCCTTATTAATATCCTGATTAAGATAAAGTATGTCGAATGAAAAAGGGATATAAATATTATTTCTCATAAAAAATTGTGTTGATCCATACACTTATCAATAAATTATAGCATTATAAAGTTAAAAATGTAAAAAATAAAATCGAGAATTTTCACACAAAAATAACATTTGATAGCCATTTTCACCGTGTAGACAAAATAAAGTCTTAAAGTTTTTTTTCCATAATAAAGTATATTACATAAGCTTTAATTTAAGATATATATAAAAGTGTCAGACCTTCCGGAACACTTTCAAAAGTTAAGTTGAAGAAGTTAATTTTTTGTGAAAAAGTTGTCATTTTAAATCCCCCCCTTTGGGCAGGTAAAGGGTTAAATTTATGAAAAAAATATACTAAATAATAGGTAAAGACATCAAGCATCTATATAAAAAATGATATCAAATGAAAGGGAAATATCTAAGGTTTTAGTATAAAAAAAAATTATATTGATTTGTTCATTTTTGAAAAAATTATAGAAGTTTTAAGAAAAAAAGTGAAAAAAATTACAAAATTTACCGATTTTTAAATTTGTAATTTTTTTGGATATTTCCCCCATTTGCGGGGAACGAGGGAAAATTTTTCAATTTTTAAGGGTAATGTTTTCAACTAGATACGATTTGTGATCATTTGACGTATTGTTGAAAGAAATCTGTCCAGTGAGAGCTGAGAAAAAGTGGCAACAGACATAAATAAAACACATCATGGTAAAATTAATACCTTCTCAGCTTTACACCGAAGCTAAAATAAATGGTGTCAATTCGATCAGTTCCAAAGAAACATCATGATAAGATAAATGTTTTATTAACATTGATAAATAAAACATTGATCTTGTTGTATGTACACGAGTGTTCATGAGAATTATTAGAGTAAAACGGTTATTAAAATAACAATGTGAAAGATAATTATTACTTTAAAAACTACTGAAATGGTCAAATAATGTAAAATTCATTACAATAATACTTCGTTGTATTGTAGTTTTATACTTGGGTTAAAGATATTTGTATTCGTTCAATTTTAATTCTTTTATTATTCAAGTTTTTAATCGTCTTTAAAATTAATTTTTATTTTATTTTTCAGGGGGTTTCATACTTGAAATACGAATATCACTCTCAAAGTACAGTAATAATTTTTATTAATAATATATTTATTCTGTATATG